ATGACGAGAAAAAAAAAGAGAGGGGGGGGAGCAGGAGGGGGGGGTGCATCCATGAATATTAACCGTCCGATGTTGGAAACACCTCTGGCTAATCCTGAGCTACGATGTTGAGAGAGGAATATTCTGGTGTTAACACCTGGTGTAACAGTCAACCCTCCAACACCTGCCGGATGATGAGAGCACACACTTACACTGTTGCCGGCGGCGGCGGCGGCTCAAAGGCATCACCCTTAAAATATTCACCCCTTTATAAATATGTGGACGTCCAATAGCAGCAGCGAGAATCTGTAGCTGCGAGGGATTGTCGGATCGGGGCGAGGAAAGTGAAAGGAGAGGGAAAAAAAAGAGAGAGAGAGGAATGAAAAGGATTAACATGATGAGAAAAAAAAAGAGGATCCGCGGGGGGAGCCGCGGCGAATCCCATGGAGCTGATGGCATTGCCTGAAAAAGAAACAGCGGGCGTCAAACTTCATTAGCCTCACATCGCTAACTGCTCGTTATTATTGTTATTATTGTTATTAGTATTTGTTGATTTTTGAGCCGCCGTGACGGAGCGGCCGCAGGGAGAGAAGTATTTTTAAATCCTGGATTTGAAGATATTTATGAGGATAAATGTTGGTGTTTATACTTCAATACAAGAATAAACTTAAGTTAATCAATAAATATGGGGAACGGTTAAGTTAAAGGACAACGTTGTTTGTCTTTAGTTGTCGTATTCATCTGTTTACGACATTCATTCATTAGTGCAAAAAAACAGCACAATTACGCTAACTCTGGTGTCTGTACCAGGACTGTTGTAGCTAACGTTAGCTCTGGGGTCTGTCCCAGGACTGTCGTAGCTAACGTTAGCTCTGGGGTCTGTCCCAGGACTGTCGTCGCTAACGTTAGCTCTGGTATCTGTACCAGGACTGTTGCAGCTAACGTTAGCTCTGGGGTCTGTCCCAGGACTGTCGTAGCTAACGTTAGCTCTGGGGTCTGTCCCAGGACTGTTGTAGCTAACGTTAGCGCTGGTGTCCGTACCATGAATCGTTGATGCAGAACTTGTTTGCATCGACTCATCAATGATTCACTAATAGCGACAGTCTGAGAAGCTAATGTTGATTTTTTTTTTTAATAATGGGATGGATTTAAAAAGACTTAATGTCCCTTGGACATAAAAGTTTGACATTCTGCCATAATTCAGCGTCTCCTCGTTTGCTTCATTTATCTGTGTGTTTTTTTTTAGTACTACGCAGTATTTATTACTTCACACCAGCTGTGCCATTTGTAAAACTTTTGTCCTCAAACAAAGTCTTTTTTGACTCTTTTTTTTTTTTCTTTTTTTGATTCTCACAGATTTGGCAAAACTTCAAGACAAAGTCACTTCATGTTTATCAGATTTGGTGACAGCGTCGGTCGTCTCCACTACTTAGAAATCACTTTAACATTTGGCATCCCGCCCCGGAGCAGGAAGAATGTCCCCGAGCATTAATTTGTTTCCCAGGTCGATGGTTTGTTTCCTCGCCGTTCCGTTATTACTGCGCTGATACAGAGGCACACGATAAAACGTTGAGACCAGAAAAGACTCTGAGCGTCAGTTTGATTTAAAGTGACGGTTAAAATCGGACGTCTCCTGCGTCATTAAGGAACAACTCTGACAGCACACCAGTTCGTTAGCGTCTAATTGATATTCCTAATGTTTGGGAAAATACAGTAATTAAATCTGAGTGAGTGAAAGAAGGAGGTTTTTTTTTTCTGCCCTGGACTTTCTCCTCTTTGAGGATGACTTTTACTATTTATCTTTTTTATTGTTTCATCTTTTTTTTTCAGATTTTCTCTTTTGGATGATGATGATGTCCATGGAGATTTAAAAGTCTGAAAAAAAATCTTTTTTATTTTAGATTTTTGATATTTTAATTTAAGATGTAATCCAAAGAATTTGTAGTGAAAATAACATCCCAAAATTCTACAGGTAACTCCGTTTTTTTCTTTCCCTTTTTTCTGTTTACACGGTGACGATACGGCTCCGATTCCGCCTTGCGTTTAGACGAAGGAATTCTGACCTAGCTAGAGAAGCTAATTTGGCTAAATGTCATGCTACAGTTAGCCATCTCTGTTTTTACAACTTTGTTTTTTTCGAGTTTGTTTACACTTTGCAAGCTGACGTTCTGGTTCAAATTCTTCCGGTGTTAGTAGTGGTTGACACAGCGCCACATACAGGCCTGGCCGATGTACTACAGGGACCGCAGTCGTAACCTCCGGCAGCTCCGTTTAAATTTCGGGAGGCGAAATCATCGCCGACTGAACAGAGCAGTTTCTTTCCACAGTCGTACATGAATGTGGCGACTGTTCACACTACGCTGACAGCAGGTGTGAATGTGAGTGTGAACGCGTCTCTGTGATGCTCAGGTTAAAGGTGTGAACCCTGTGAACCCTGCCGCCGGTCGGCTCCAGGCTCCCAGCAAGATGAAGTGTTTGAAGATGAATGAATATATTTTTTTTTAACGGAAACAAGAAAAAAAAGAAGAAGAAGAAGAAGAAGAAGAAGAGGAAGAGGAAGAGGAAGAAGAAGAGGAAGAGGAAGAGGAAGAAGAAGAGGAAGAGGAAGAGGAAGAAGAAGAGGAAGAGGAAGAGGAAGAAGAAGAGGAAGAGGAAGAGGAAGAGGAAGAGGAAGAGGAAGAGGAAGAGGAAGAGGTCGCTCCTGGAGACGAGCTCCAGAGGTTGACTCACGCAGGCAGATGTTGCTGGTGAACATGCGCAGGATCCTCTGACAGCTGTGCAGTTCGTTCCCACTGCCGTCACACGTGCACCACTGGGACACCTCTGTGCTGCTGTTGCTGACGTAGTTGGGAGTCATGATGGTCCCTGAGGGGGGCGGAGGGGGGAGAAGAGGGGGGAGGCAAACACAACAAATGTCACCATATAGGTGCAACTTTGAAAACCTTTACAGAGAGGGTTTTTTTTTTTTTTTTTTTTTTCTCCCCTCAGGTGAAATCTTTTCATTTCACCACTCGGCCCTGGACGGCGGCGGCAGCAGCTTCAGCAACAATATTGCGGCTTCAGTTGCCCTGGAGAAACGGTGTCGCCGCGCGTTTCCAGCTCTTTATTAATAATTGCAGGTAAACAAAATTACTTTTTACACAGTATAGGCAACAAAAAGGGAAAATATCATCCGGAACATTCTGTCAGGCTGCTGGAAAAGCAATTTCTTAGAATGAAGTTTGTGAGAACGATGCTGACTGGATTCCCACTGCACCACCGTTCTGACAGCTGACCACTTATGAAAGCAAAGAAAAATAAAAACATCACACAGTCGCTTCAGGCCGAACGTGAGGGTTCGACGCCGTCACTCATTCGCCGCGGCGTTTTTAGGACCTTTAATTGTATCTTTTTTTTTTCATTTTTTTTTTTTTCGTCCTCTCACCTATGAGTCCGGCGTAGGCCTTTAAACAAATGGCTCTGCTCTCCTTCACACAGCCAGAGGCAGACTGAGGGGAGGGCTGGCAGTTGTGCTGGAAATCAGCAAACCGTGATCTGAAACACACACACACACACACACACACACACACAGAGAGAGAGACAGAAAAATAATAATTTCTCAGCATGGACGACTTCATTGTGGGATTTGGAGTCAAAACAAACGCGAAACAACTGCAGTGGATGAACTTCATGACTGAACTTTCAGTGAAATTAAATAATGAATGGAAATAGTTTTTATTATTAACTGCTGGAGTTTAATATAAAAAAACAGGAAGTAGGCAGAGTACAAATATATAAATATATATACAGTATGTATGTGTGTAAATATAGTCATCGTAATTGTACTTGCTTTTTGCCGAGGCCGACGGCAGAAAACTGATCTGCTGTCGTGAAAACGCTGCCCCCTGTGTTCATTTATTGGAACGTCATCCTGCTGTTCTATATTAACTCAGTGTAACGTGGAGTTTATCTATATACAGCTAAATATATATATATTTATATTTATATATATATATAATGTATTTATATTTTCATTTTATGGTGTTTTTAAGCATTTATTTTGATTTTAAATCTAATTTTAAAACTAAAGTCTACTGATATTTTGTGATTTCAGACTAAAACAAATACACGCCGTGATCTTTTAAATGTTAGCGTCCAAATGGAAAATATATGTTCAGAGTTTTTTTTTTTAGTTAGGAACGGAATGTTGCTGAAGTCTGAAGGTTCTGTTTCCCCACACGGTGGTATTAATGCAGCCCAGGCTGCAGATGCCCTGGGGCTGTTAGAGTCTCATCTAGAATCCTGGACCTGAGTCCACCACCACCGCTGCTGCTGTTACTGCTGCTGCTGCTGCTGCTGCTGTTACTGCTGCTGCTGCTGCTGTTACTGCTGTTACTGCTGCTGTTACTGCTGTTGTTACTGCTGCTGCTGCTGCTGCTGCTGAGGCTGCTGCTGCTGTTACTGCTGCTGTTACTGCTGCTGCTGCTGCTGCTGCTGCTGCTGCTGAGGCTGCTGCTGCTGCTGCTGTAACTGCTGCTGCTGTTACTGCTGCTGCTGCTGCTGCTGTTACTGCTGTTACTGCTGCTGTTACTGCTGTTGTTACTGCTGCTGCTGCTGCTGCTGCTGCTGTTGCTGCTGTTACTGCTGCTGCTGCTGCTGCTGTTGCTGCTGTTACTGCTGCTGCTGTTACTGCTTCTGCTGCCGCTGCCTGCTGCTGCTTCATCTCCTCCAAACATCACATTCTTCTGGCCTCTGACACAGTGATGATGTCGACAGTCACAGTGGACTCACACGCAGCTGAAGTGGAATTCAATTTGGACCTCGTTAATGAACGGGGAGAAGGTGCACCTGAGCGCAAAATCGTAGAAAATTGTCTTCTTCTTCTTCTTCTTCTTCTTCTTCTTCTTCTTCTTCTTCTTCTTCCTAAAGCATTAGCTTGAGCGCTAACGGCTTATTTCACGCAGCGTTTCTCAACACGCCGTCGTCTCGTTGTGACGGAGCAAACAGAGAGTCAGGAGTAACGAGGTCGGAATTCTGAGCCCGTTGAAGAGCCGCTCCACAGGACGATCGCCGAGTTCACCGGTTAAATATGTGTCGACCTTTGAATAAAAGATAAATCTGTGAAGAAGAAGAAAAAAAAACAAAAAAAAAGAACTCGGAGAAGTTCGAACCTTGGCTTGTTGAAACCCCGGGGTGAAAAACAAACCGAGCGGTCTGTTGTAGTCCACGGTGACGAAGGCGGAAAAATAACTTATCAAAACACGTTGGAGTGACAGGAACTGGAGCTGGAATAACTGGGAAGACTCCAGCGACGGACTTCATCCAGTCTGAGATTGAAACGTCCAAAAACACGTGAAAAAAAATCTCCAAAGTAGAACCCAAAGAACACCGTCCCCACACGTCATATGAATGTTGTTCATGTGAATAAATCAGTTAAAAATAAGTCAAAATAATTTCTACGACAGATGGAGAGAAAATCAATTTTTTTCTCTCCTCCATCTGCTTTCTTCTTCTGTGGTGTTTCCTGCAGAGAATTCTGGGGGGTTGTTTTTGACGCCAAGTCACGACCTGTTTCTTTTCAGTTGTTTAGTTTTAGAGAATAAAAAAAAACCCTGATGGATCTAAATCTGAACCTGATGAAGATTTGAACAGATTTGCTTTGAAACCAAAGTTGTTTTTCTTTTCGAGGTTTTGAAAAATCAAAATTATCTTCGACTTTTCCGAGTCGCCATCGCGGCCACTCACCTGCACAGCTCATCCTTGGAGCAGTAGCTCTGCAGACTCAGGCAGTTGGGCTTCCCCGCTCTTTCCTCTCCCCTCACGTTCTCCTCGTAGGAACAGGACGGGACGATGGTTTTCCTGCGGCGTTCCCCGCACAGCGTGTCGGAGCAGGGACAGAAGAGCAGAGCGAAGCTGTACTCTTCAGGCACTCGCTCCAGGAAACGCCGCAGGGCTTTGTGACACTTCTGGCGGTTGCAGTTGTTCTCGGAGCTGGTGGCCCTCTTGGTGCAGGCGACCACGTACTCCGACCGCAGGGAGCCGCATTTCTCGTACAGACCGCAGTCCTGGGCGGCTTTCAGACACTGGTTCTGACCGTCGATGTGGAAGCTGGAGGAGGGAATTCAACTCAGTTATGTTTGTAAGAGAAGAAAAAAGAACAAAGAAAGAAGGAAATGAGGAACGGTTCCTCCACCTGCCATGATGGAGGCCATGTGGGACATCTCAATGTTCCTCACCAGGTTCACCTCCAGCTCCTCGTACGGGGACACGTCGTATTCATCGTAAGCTAAAAAAAACAAACACAGGAACGGTGAACAGTTGGATCTGTAGCTACGTTGAAGACAAAAAAAAACCGCAGCTAACGCCAGATACCTGCAAACCTGACGGTCCAGTACACCCGCAGACAGTGCTCCTCCCGGCGGGAGCCGCGCTGACACTTGCAGACCTGCAGGGGGCGATACTGCTGCAGCGAGTTCTGGCCCTCCAGACACTCCAGACGGGCGTCGGAGCTGAGGGGCGACACGGCCTCCTCGGCCGTACAGTATTCCAGAAGTCGAAAGAGAACCATGCAGGAGTGCTCCTGGAGGCAGCTCTGCTCCGCCACCAGGCAGTCTAAGGACGCAGACACTGGAACACCTCCTGCAGGAGGAGAAGGAGGAGGAGGTGACGGGAGTCAGCAATTCTCTAAATTCCGATCTGCACCCGTCTATCACCCACGAATCTGGAGTCAAACCCGTCCCCAGTCCGTTCACAGGCCACGAATCTGGAGTCAAACCCGTCCCCCCGTCCGTTCACAGGACACACATATTCACGCATTTTCAATCCATCAAGTCTTGCACCGCCCTCATGTACTTTTCTACCACCCCCCGACCTCTTCCTCCAGCACCGACGACCTCTTGACACCCTGTTATTTCGTATCTTTAGATCCATTAAGATACTCTCAGAGTTAGCTAGCCCCCCCTAATGACAGAGAACTGGCAGAACAACTTTAAACCCTCCACTCTCCCACACAGCCAATTATATTTCCGCAGCTGTTAAAAGGGTAAATGTACTTTAAAGCACTTGGATTTGTGCACTAAAAAAAAAAAAAAAAATCACCGTCGTTAAATCAGAACAAAACACTCGACCGTCCACCAGTGGCAGTCAATCAGGTAAATAACCGAGCGGAGTGAGCGCCCTCTTTAGACACCACTCAGACGCGGAATTAAAGTCAAACTGCACAAATGCGTAATAAAAAAAAAAAAAAAAAACCCAACTCCAACTTGTGCAAAGTTTTCATCGTCGTCCTCACGGAAACAAACGAGTCTCCGTGGAGAAAACTTCGCGGCCTCGTAGGCTTCCATTATGGATCGTAATCACTCCATAATTACTCCATCATTTTCTCACTGGGAGCTCCAGTTAACGGACGCTGACGTTATCTACACACAGGTGTGCTGTGGACATTTGGAACATTGAACTGATGAGATTCAAACGCCGTCGTCGCCGTCGCCGCCGCTGGTAATCACGTCGGATCAGCGGGGCCCGACAGATGATGTCCTAAATTTAGACGAACGCCGCCGAACGCACGGTGCCGCCCCCTGTCGTCTGATGTGTTAATGACATGTGAAAACACACACCCCTGCTGGGGAGCTCCGCCCCCTCCCCTCCTGCCCCCCCCCTCCCCTGGAAACACTAGCTTCTCCAGCTGCCTGACAGAAGTGGTGGGAGAGGAACAGAAGCAGGAAGGATGACTCAGCTGCGACGCGGTGAAAAGTCAATTTGCATAAAAATGATGTTAAACTGTCGGCTTTCAAGTACTGGATACCTGGAGGATCGTCCTGCAGGGGGCGGAAAAACCACAAAAAAAAAAAAAAAACAATTTCCTCCATAACTTCACAGTTTCATCACCATTTATCCAAGCTCGTCTGAGGTCCAGCAGGGGGGGCAATTAAAGCAGTGGGGTGGGTTTAATGTAGCCTCTAACGTCTTTACATTTACAGACCACAATAAATGAGTTTTTTTTTTCTTTTTTTAAAAAAACGTATAAATGAAACTAACTTCATTTCCAGGGACAGGAGGTTTTTTTTTTCTTCTAACCATCAGGTATTTTTCTTTACCTACTTTTATACAGATCTTTGCTGTGTTTTTTAGCAACATCACGCTAGTGCTATCATGCTACATAGGCTAACTCCCAAGTATTTTTAGTATTTGTGAAAAATGTTTTTCAAACGTCAGGACTGAGGTTTCACCACGGACGGAGCAGACATTTTTATCTGCTCTAAATGAACCTCAAGAAGATCGCAGACATTTTTATCTGCTCTAAATGAATGTTAAGAAGATGTTTTTTTTAAAAAAATAAACTGTTATAAATACAAAAGAACTGGCAAAAAATGCTCCCAAAACTGGAATACAAACATATACTAAAAAAAAAAAAAAAATTCAGATGTATCCCTGAGTTAAGTGTACCGTGTTCAGAGGAACGTGATACAACACGACAACACATTTAGTCCAAACCAGGTGAAGCGGGAACACGGCTGTGGTGGCGTCGTCGACATATAAAGAATCTCTGTTGTTATTGTTGTGAAAGAACAGCTGCAGGAGGCGCCGTCTGCTGCAGCCTCTGCTCCTGGAAAAGGCTTTACAGCAGCGCCAGGTGCAGGGATGAATGTTCTCCACAAGGAAAACAACACAAGCAGCTCAGCTTCACGTCCACTGCTGCCTCCAGTGGCTCACTGCTGCCTCCAGTGGCTCACTGCTGCCTCCAGTGGCTCACTGCTGCCTCCAGTGGCTCACTGCTGCCTCCAGTGGCTCACTGCTGCCTCCCGTGGCTCAGTGGCGCCTCCCGTGGGTCCCGGCTTTCTTCTC